AATTCCAGGTCTTTCTGAAGCTCTCCACAAGTGGTCCTTGGCTCTTGGACAACTCTTCTAATAATCTCTGTCAGAAATCTTGCGAGGAGCACCTGGTCGTGGCTGGTTTATTGTGAAATGATGTTCTTTCCACTTCTGGATAATGGCCCTAACAGTGCTCACTGGAGCATTCAGAAGTATAGAAATCCTTCTGTAACCAATGCCAGCAGTATGTTTTGCAACAATAAGGTTGTGAAGGTCTTGAGAGAGCTCTTTGCTTTTACCCATCATGAAATGTTTCTTGTGTGACACGTTGGTCATGAGACACCTTTTTATTGGCCATCAGTTGAATTGAATATATTTACTGAGAAAAATGGTGATGTGTTCAATACTTATTTTACCCACTGTATATATATATATACAGTGGGAACGATAAATCTGCAAAAATGTCAACAATTCTGTGTTTTTCTGTCAATATGGGGTGCTGTGTGTACATTAATGAGGAAAAAAAATTTACTTAAATGATTTTAGCAAATGGCTGCAATATAACAAAGAGTGAAAAATTTAAGGGGGTCTGAATACTTTCCGTACCCACTGTATATATACACACATATATAACAGAGTTTATTAAAAACATTGAGATAATCAAACGTTTCTGCCACAAACCTTTGACAAGTAGCGCCACACTTTGAACTGTTGATTCGTAGCAGACATATTGTCCTGTATCATTATGTTGAAGATTGCTGAGTTTGAGTGAGAAGTTTCCTTTCTCAAAATCATCTGAAAATGTTTCAGCTCTGCCTTTGTATGCTGAATGTTGTTCTTCTACAGAGCCTTGACCATTAATAATGTCATACACATTCAGACTGTCATTGTATCTCCAATGCACGGTGATTTCTTGACGTTTAAGTTGACCTTCTTTAGAAAAACATGGTAAAACAGCAGAGTCTCCAATAAAACCCACAACAGGATTCTGCAGAGACACTGAAAACAGAGAAAAGATTAAATAAATGGAACAGAAACAGGAGTTTGCTTTACAAATGACTGTTTGTGTTTTAGGGCATCTATAAAACTGCTTAGTCACAGGAAACAGCAAATCATTTATAAAATAAAATGGGTCAAATTTACTATATTCTGAGTTTATTTGATGAGTTCTTTCCAGACCTCAAATGGATATTTGACAGTGCTATCAGTCAAACGCTCCATCAAAGTATTCTTTATTGTACATACACCCTTAGTACTCACCTTCATTTAACATTACCAAATGAAGCAAAACAATACAGCACCTGTAAACACAGAAAACACAATGATTTAGCAACATAAAAACTAAACTCGCATTCCTGTTTTTGTTGAATGAATTACTGTAAATAAAAGTACAAATCATTTTCTGTGGTAATTGGTATTAAGCCATAAATGTTCATAGAGTTCATGGGGGAAAAAACTTCATTTATTTATTATTATTATCACAAATTTTTGTTGTTGTTGTTGTTCCCAGAAAAAGAAAAGAAAAGAAAAGAAAAAGAACGTGTTTCTCAGTGTGTTTAGGTCTTTACAATATAAAATGACATTGTCATCATATTTAAATCTGCCTCTGTCTGATCAATTTCTCTTTCACTATAGTTGTGGCCAAAAAACAAAACAAAAAAAAACAACACACACACACACACAGTTGACAGGGACAAGTGTGTTCGTAAACCTGTTTGGGTGAGTGTTTTATTTAAATTTGTCATCTGCAAAATCTACAATATGTTCTCATGTAGTGTCAGTGTGTGGCTTGGCTTTTTATGTTCACAAAAACAACACATTTTATTAAAATCAGACTATCAGAAACAATATGCATTGCTAGCCAACCAAGTGTCAAGAGATGTAAACAAATTCTCTAAATGTCTAGCACACAAACACAAATTATAGCCTAATGTTATAACTAGCCGTTATTGACCAAAATTATACCAAGTTAATAGATTTATTTATTAAAAGCTGGCACTGCAAATCACAAGTTTGACAGTCTATACTGTAGTGACACACTTGTACTAAAAATGTGTTCACACTTAAAAAAAAAAAGTTTAGTTACACGTTATCTGTAAAAACAGCTGGCCTATATACATTTAACAAAACCATAGGCCAACTAAACATCCAGAAGGAGGTGGGTCCTCTGTGTTAAACAAATTTATTGTACCAGTTCAAACATGTTCATTATGCAACATTTTAGCCCCTCCAGCAGTCAGAGTGGAGACACATCTTCAAAGTATGAACAATACTGATATTATCAAGTATTGGGGCACGTGTTCTCCATTTTAATACTCGAGTTTCAGCTCATCTATTGTCCAGTGGTATAAGGGATATAAGATGGTACTTACAGTTACGTTTAATTTTCTGCTGCAATATTACAATACTATTTCTGCTACAGCATTAATATTTAGCGAGAATTTAAACTTCTTGTTTGCCTCTAGCTTGGGGAAGCTAGGGAAGCTCCGCTTACTTTCGTTTTCTATATATAATGCTCTGCTACATATTCGGTTACATAAAAAAAATCATAACATACCTGATTGTCATCATTTATGAAGTTAAATAATTTACAAATGTAATGTTTAAACGGTTTCTTAAATACTTTCGCCAAACACTGCGACCTTCCGCTGACTGCGCGCGCACTTCAGACAAAGCGTATAGAAGACCGATGCGAAACTCTGATGCTTTTTGGGTAACAGCCACTAGGTGGCGCTTCGGTAGCGCGGCCGCCATTTTGGAGTGAAAATTCTAACTGGACAACAGCACAGATACACAGATAGACAGAATAACAACGAAAGAGAGGTCAAAGTGGAATAAAAGAATGCAATGTTGGGCAATCCACTGCAAAAACTATCAGTGTGACAGTAAAAATCTTGCCTTTCATCGTTTTCCCAAAGACCCTG